TTTTCCACTTTTCCCCATAATGACAATAGACATCTTCTTATACTCAGGTAGGTATAAGTTTCATTATTATTTACCAATCCATAAAGTTTCTTTATGTTACTTAGGTTCTCATACCCAACCACTGCCCAACCCTGTCTGCAGAAAAATACAACAATCTGATATTATAGACAAATTTATATATGCTGGAATGTATTAGGATAGAACCAGAGTTTAGAGACATCTGGCCTTCATTCATCTTGAATATATGTTTAAATTTATCTCTTTTGTTTCCCATGATAATTGTTCATTCTTAATATTAAATAGTGTAGCATTGTATAGCTACACGGCAAGTTTTATAATTTAGTTTATTTCATGTGTATATATGCTTGCCTACATATAGGTATGAAGAACGCATGCATGCCTGTTGCCCATGGAAGCCAAGAGAGGATATTGAATCCCTTGGCACTGGAGTTAACAGTTGAAAACTGCCATGCTGGTTTTGGGAAATGAGTCTTTGCCTGTTGCCTGTTGCTGAGGTTGTTTTCAATTTCAGTGTCTTGTATATAAAGCTGTTGTGAACTGAAATAAATAAGTCTTTAAAAGAAAATATGTCCTCTTTCTCCAGGTTATATATTTGGGTTGTGATGGCCAGATGACAATTAACATATGAAGAAACAGAAAAAGATTTTTCCAAGTTATCATCCTGTTTTCCATGGCCACCAGCAGTGGGTATGGGAGAGTCATCCTCCACAAACTTGCCAGGTCTTTGTATGACAAGTCTTTATTTCTGAGTATTTTATGGGGTTGTCTAGAGTCCCCTCAGAGTCACCTGTTGATGGAGGAAGGTCATTGGCTAATAAAGGAACTGCCTTGGCCCATTTTATTGGTTAGAAGATAGGTGGGAGGAGTAAACAGAACAGAACGATGGGAGGAAGAGGAAGTGAGCTCAGACTCCACAGCTCTCCTCTCGGGGGCAGAAGCCTCAGAGAGACGCCATGCCCCGCTCCTGGGCAGACACACGAGATGAAGCTCCGTCCTAGAATCTACCCGGTAAGACCGGTGCTCACAGATTATTAGAGATGGGTTGATCGGGATAACAGAATTAGCCAGTAAGGGCTAGGACTAAAGGGCCAAGCAGTGTTTAAATGAATACAGTTTCCGTGTAATTATTTTGGGTAAAGCTAGCCGTGGGGGCGGCCGGGTGCCGGGGACGCAGCCCCGCCGCCCTTATTACTACAACCTGTCTCTCTTCCCTAAGTGTTAAGGATGTTGCTGCTGTATGTTTCTCTGAGTGGAGCATCTACTCACCCTTCTGGTCAAGTTTTATTTCCTGAATTGTCTATTTTCTTAGTGTCTCCTTTAGAAGCTTTCTGTATTCTGGATACAAGAAGACTGTCATCTGATATACAATTTCCCACATTCATTTTCCCAGGTAAGAAAAATATGTTTCTATCATATATTTGGAAGAATAGATATTTTCTCACTTTATGGAATTCGTAACACTCCAGTTCTTCATTTAATGAAAGGGGGTTTGCCATATCTAAGAAGTTTGTTTGTAATTCATGAACCTGAACATCCAATTGTATTCTGCTACAAGATTCATGTTTAGGTTGTAATTTGGACTTCTTTTAGGTTTATTTTCCCTATTTACTGAGGGTCTGCCTGTATGTCTCTGTGTGCCAAATACACGTTTGAGTGCAGATGCCCACTGAGACCAGAAGAGACTGTCAGTTCCCCTGGATCTGGAGTTACAGACATCTGTCACCCACCATATGGGTGCTGGAAACTGAAGTCAGGTCCTCTGCAATAGCAAAAGGCACTCTTAACTTTTGAGATGTCTCTCTAGTCCTGTGTAGATCATTTGTTCATTCTCGATTGACTTTTGTATCCTGCGATATACGATAGTCTATATTTATATTTGTGCATGGGGAGGTCTGCTTGTCCCAAAATAAGACAGAAAGACAGGGCATTGAAGGGGATATGAGAGGGAACACACAGCCCCTCACCCTGTAATCGTTTTTACATTTTTCTGACATTCAAGAAACCTCAAGCCAACTGATAGAGCCAAAATTACCTGCAGATATGATGCAACTATTCCTAAAGACATCCCAAATAATGTTTAAAAATAACAACAAATAAACTAGAGTCTGAAGATAGGGTTCATTCTTTAATATCACTGGATGTCTTCCAGAGGATCCAGGGTTGATACCCAACACCTACCCGATGGTTCACAACTGTCTGTAACTCCAGTTCCGAGAGATCTCATAAAGTCTGGCACCCTCTGTGGGCATTATTAGGTACTCACGTGGTGCACAGACTTCCCTGTGGAAAAGCATTCAAAAGCAGAAAATAAAAAACGCAGTTATGCTTACTTAGGGGCAGAATACTTGTAGCCTTGAGATGGATGATGATAGCACTCTATTCTCTCACCTAAGTCACATAATCACCTTACAATTTAATTTACTGAAAGAAACTTTAAAAGGAATAAGCACATTCAAAAGCATTGCTTTTTATTTTCATTTTTTACTTTTTAATAACCTATTGAATATTTTTTTCCTAATGGAAAAATAGAACCCATTTAAAGAGTAAAAATATTCTTATAGTTAATTTAAAAACCTGAATATAGGCTTTAATGTAATTTAATCTTGAAATTTTCTGAATTACATTCTTTCAGCAATGTAACTTGAGAGCCATAAAAATCCTCCCATTTCTCCCTCTCCCACTGTACCTCCCTCCCTGCCCACCTCACATACCCTTTGCAATGACACCTAATCTCAAGTCTCTCTCCAGTCCACTCTCAGGCCATCATGCAGGAGCCATCCTAATTCTGTGTGAGCTTCTATCCACAGGATTAATAAGCTCACAACCTTTGCTTCATCCTGGCTGTTTCTGAAATTCTTTACTGCATCCTAGATTCATCTTTACCAGGGTCAAGGTCATCAAAGGGACAGGGTTATCCTCAGGCTGCTGGTCACTGTGCTGGGCTGTACCTCCCTACCACCTATGGGGAGTCCCAGAAAAACTCGGTGAAGCACAAATGTCTGCTTCACTTAAGTGTCTTTGAGTCTTTGCTAAAGGTGTCCCCTCACACATGTGTGACTCTTCTGTCCCCTTCATATTCTTTTCTGTCTTATTGTCTTTTCCAATCAGGCACGCTGTCTACAATTCTCTAGGTTTATAAGGAGTTTGGAAGTCAGGTGTTCATCCTCCAAGTTTGTCCCTTTATAAGGTTGTTTCAAGCTGGGGTTCTCCATATTCACTGTGAATTTCAGGATAAGCCCATTAGTTTATGAAAAGTCTGTTAGAGTTCTGTTGGTATTGCACTGGATCTATAGGACTGTATGAGGAGAACAGACACCTGTATCTTCCATTGCATGAAGATGATTGTAGCGTGAGTTCTAATTGGTCTTAATAATAAAATCTGGAGTCAGATATTAAGTGGTTGGAGCTATAAGATCAGAACAGCAGAGCAGCCAGACACTAGTTCTTTCCTCGACAAAATCCTCAGACCAAATGGAGCATCCTGTCTCTACAAGACCTCAGACTGACTGCCTGGATCTCCTATCTCCTCCCACCTTATATTCCTCTCTTTTCCCAGCCACATTCCTTTCATTCTCCATCTCCCTCGTGCTGGGATTAAAGGTGTGTGACACCAAAGCACTTTGATGAAAGATGTGAGTCACCACTGCCTGACTCTGTTTCTCTTTTAGACTGGATCAATCTAATGTAGCCCAGGATGGCCTTGAACTCACAGAGTTCTGTTTCTTAAGTGTTGGGAAAGGTGAGTTCCAACACTGCCTGTCTTCTGTGGCTAACTAGTGGCTATCTGCACACACTGATTCTCAGGCAAGCTTTATTGTCATGGAAGAAACAAAATATCGCCACAGTCGATGAATCTATACATCTTTACTCTCAGCAATGAGTTGTCCCATTCAGTGTCTAGGCACTACAGAGAAGTGGGCAGAGTTTTCCTAATTATTTCATATTTCCTGATGCTATCTCCAGTGACAGGGATTTTAAATTACAGCTTCCACACATTCATTTCACTGTGGTCAGCTGTCTGTGTTAAATTTAGACAGAGTTATTGATGAATCTTTTAGGTTAAAATATTTAATTACATTCTCTATGATGAAAATGTCTTTGATGCTAACATATATTTGCTGTGTTTAAAATTCAGTACTTTGAAGTTGCAAGTGAATTAGGAGAACAGAAACAAATGTCCAACACCCAGTTTGGGGGAAAATTTCTAAGGCAGCCACAGGTCAAAGGTTTGCCCCAATGGCATCTTTGGAATCATAGAGATAGTCCTTTACCTCCCAGCTAGCTCCATCAGGGAGGTGCTGAGATCACGGTGGAGAGAAAGAAGGGGATACATGTGAAGACTTAGGTATGTATGTGTAACTCCAGAAAGGTTTGTATTATGAAGAATACTTAGGTAATTATTTTCAAAATATCTAATATTATTTTCCCCAACACAAAAAGGAAAAGGTTAGTACTCGTGTGTTTTCCCTCTTGTTTTCCCATCCAGTCATGCAGATTTTAGCAGTGTTGCTGTGGACTTGTACAGAGGGGGTGTTTTATGTATGGTTCTTTCCATGTTTATTATAACCATGACGCCTGCTAAGTGTTGCTCTGATGCCTACTTCCCTGTGCAGTTACTAGTATACAAGCATTGCTTGTCTTTGAGTAATGTTTCTCTTTTATCTTTTGTTTATTAATGGATTTACTCATGCGTTTGTGTCTACTCAGAAACACCCATTTCTTAAAGGAGTACTCCTTTGTCATCATTATATACTGTGATGCTTAAATTATCCCATAACATGCCCGTGGGAGTACATTCAAGTGGACCTGCTCTTCATTTGTTATCTGTCTAGAATTCTGGATTATCTGACCACCCCTGGGAAGAAAGCCAAAAGCAAATGCCTCTTGTCAGTGATACTTTGTGTCCTCTGCCTATCAATGTCAGGTCTCTTCTATGAGAAGAACAGCAGGACTGCAGAGAGAACACGCAGAATGTTGACAAGAAGCTGACATGAGCCCTTGTTTCCAGTATGTGAGTCATCATTGCCACCAATGTGAGTGTGTGTGTGTGTGTGTGTGTGTGTGTGTGTGTGTGTGTGTGTGTGATGTGTACATGGCTGTGTATAAAGGGTCTGTGAAATGAACAAAGAAGAGGAAGATGTCACTGCACATCTTTGACTTGACTGGATGCAGACAGACTACTCCATCCTTATATTCAGTACAGTAGAGTGACAAGATCATGTGGGACTCACCAGGTGAGTCATTTCCTTTTCTCTTCCCATCTGTGTGACCAGCAGCTGGTCTGTGATGCCTTGTAGGAACACATCCTGTTGAGCAGGTCGCAGCAAAGAGCAGCACACTGTAAAACAATGGCATTCATAGACTCCCCAGATGACTGAACCCTGTAGGGGTCCCTTTAAATGACCAGGACTGAAATGGAAGCAATCCCCATCAGACCATTTCCCCGAATGGGCCATGCATGACTGCATCACATTTGGAGGGATTGCTTATTAAGATGGTAGAAATCTGAATCCACAACAGACACTGAATCATGCTTATTAAAATGGTAGATATCTGGGTCCACAGCAGACACTGAATCAATACCTGTGATGTGGGGGGTGGCATAGCCACTTCTTTCTGATGGCTGTCCATGTTAAAACGTATTGCTAGTGTGTTTGATATTCTGTCTTCCAGGATATGAAGTCACAGACTGCTTAAGTCCATACCATGTTCTCTTGTTACTGCCTTAAATACCAGTGTGTTGCATGGCATATCAAATAGACAAATCAATTCCTTCGTGTACGTTTATCCAGATATTCACATAGTGGCCTCTTTAGTGAACACCTTGTTCCTGCACTGTGAAGACTAGCACGGGTCCTTGTATATCGTGTTAGATAGGCAAACTGTCAGTAAGCAGAAGAAATCAGTAATCACAGCAATTCCGTGTATTATTGGCGCTTTAAAGATCATAAAGGGGACAGGAAACAGTTGTGATGGGGATTGTCGTATGTGATGTTACCCCCAAAGGTTTCAGAAGTTAGCATGTGATCTGAGTCCTGAATGGCAAATAGAAGCAAGACCGTGCACAAACCAAGTTGTGGGCGTGCTTGCTTCCATGGAGAACAGTGGATCTAAGAGCAGAGAACAAGGCTAGTTGCCAGAACCTTGAAGACAACGTGGACACTGCTTGGGGATAGGACAGAAAGGAAAATGTTGTCATTGTCAGCTGTGTATGACATTTGGATTATATGATCTGTGTGGAAGGTGAGTTATGGAATTGTCATGATATGTTTCCTTTTGGTAGAAGGTGACTTGGCACTGAACAGAGAAAGGCCTGGGGAGGGCGGAATGAGGGAGTGTGTGGAGACAGTGGAGATGGTTCCGAAGACAGGGGAGGGATGGAGGTATGAAAGAGGGATGAAGCCATGCTGCAGTGATCAGCAGGAGAGCTGCCCTGTGCAGCCTTGTCTGGGAGAGGGCAGATAGCACCTGGATGCGCTGTGCATTTTCCTTGTGGAGACATTGCTCTAACATCTCTGGATTTGTCTGACCACATGGAGACACGGTGCTTCCATTTACTGACATCAGTTATTCCACGTGTATTGACACAGGATAGTTTGAATACCCAATATAGTCATTGTAAAACTTAACAATTTGATAACGAGTTGCTGATGAATAATTTTCAGATGTAAAGTTTTCTAAGTATAGCTAACTGTAGCATAATTTCCAACAGAATAAGAATCTAACATTTGTCTCTTAAAAAGTGAACCCAAAATTCAGTGTATTTTTGAAAATGGCTGTTCTACAGCATGTACTGCTCTTGGCAGGTTTACAGATGAAGGAAGTGAGTAGGTTTTAGGCAGAGTTGAAGTGAAATCAGTCTCTAAATTCTGCAGCAACTGTTTGTCCCTATTTCTCCAGAAGAAGACTACCTTTAGAAATGCTTATTTTTGACAGCTGGGCATGGAGCAAACATTCACAAGACAGAGGCAGTTGGATGTCTGAGTTCAAGGCCAGCCTGTAATTCCAATTGCATATATCAACATTAGTCTGTCACATATGCAGGAACTTGTGACTGGTATTTAAAGCAGGTATTATCACTAAAGACCCCCAACTTAGCACATGAGCAGTGTCTGCAGAGGGTTTCACTCTGTTTTCTCCTCACAGAAATTCCCAGCCTTTGTTTGGAAAATGGGTCCAGGACATCCTGGCTCAGGGAACCAAAGTTGCTGGGGCTAGGAAGGTCCCACATCTCTCTGACTCTAGAAAAGTGGTTCAACCAGTGACTTGACCCCTTCAGCAAACGTCTATCTCCAAAACTATTTCCATTGTGATTCTTACCTGTAACAACTTTACAGCGATGATGAAGCAACAGAAATAATTTTCTGGTTGGGATCACCACGCATGAGGGACTGTATTAAGAGTCACGTCACAGCATAGGAAGGCTGAGAACCATTGCTGTACAGACATCCAAACGCAGAATCCGGCTTCTCAGATATCTCTGGGATCCCTTCATCATTGTCCCCATACTCCTAGGGAGGCACAGCCCCACATCAGGACACATACACTCACATCTCCGTGCAAGGGAAATCCTGTTCTTCTTTCTCCGTCATTTCTATTTCCACACACTATGCTATATTTCCAAATTTTCTTTTTTTATGTCTTCAGCACTGAGCTTAAGGATGTGTCTGATTCTTTGACCAACCTTTTTCCTGTTTTGTGATTCTTCTGCAGGGTCTGGGTCGTTGGCTGTGCACACACATCCACAGACAGTACAACAACAGCCTCTAGTCCCTTGTTGCTGACCTTTGGGAAGCTGGGCATGTAAGGTAGGTTTGCTGGCAGGAGACTTTCTCTCAGGAACAGGATGTCCTTGTCAGAGGCTGGACTCGAGGATGCTACAGCACTTAGATCTGCCCAGCATCTGACGGCCCGGTCCCAAGCTCTTCACAAATGTGGTGGGAGCACATTTGGGGATTTTTAAAAGTGGTCCCTAGACACTGCTATTGCTCCCCTGGCTGTGCACACATTCCCAGCTATATTCTTGATTTCTCTGGTAGCTGTTCAATGAGAATGCTATACCATGAAAAGAAATCACTGGTGAATTTAAAAAGCCACAGTATGGGGACTGGCGACATAGCTCTCGTGGCAGAATGATTGCCTAGAATGGAAATTGCTCTGTGTTCTTTGACCCTCTGGGCATGTTCACCCTCACCTGTAATACCAGCACTCAAGGCGTAGAGGGAGGAGGAAAGAGACAAGAGAGTCATTACTGTTTATGAGAGTATGGCTCCCTGCCCCCATGGCAGATAGCTCACAACTGCCTTTAACTCTAGCCCCATCAGGAGTCAATGCCTCTGCCAATCATGTGCATACCACAGACAGACAGACAGACATAATTAAAAGTATAACTAAAATCTAAACAAGAAAAAAAAAAGAAGCATCAACTCCAGGTCATTGACCAAGGGGAAAACACAGTGGAATTTAAAATATGAACATTATAAATGGTAACGGAATCTAACAGTCTACAGTCTGGCAGGGGAGATGACTCAGTGGTTCAGAGTGCATTCTATTGTTGCTGAGGATCCAAGGTAGTTTCCAGCATCCATTTCCAACATCCTTGAAGGACCATACCTCAGCTCCAGGAAGGTATGACCTCTCCTGACCTTTGGAGGCATAGGAATTCATGTGTACATACACATAGGAATATACACAACGTAATTATTATTAAGTTATGTACATTTTAAAATTATGTACAAATTAAAATAATTGTTATGAAACAATGAAGAAAAATGGTCAAATGCCAGGCAATAATGAGAACAGTTTTCATCAGCGTTAGGTGGCAAATGCGTGCACTTCCAGCTATTTGAACACTGGGGTTACACGATCATTACTGCTAAGAAGTTTCAGAACAGCCTTAATAGCACAGTGAGGCCCTTCCTCAAAATGATAACCAAACAAAAACCAGAAATATCTCAGAAAATGTGAAATTTCTTAGATAAACAATCTTAGAGTACATGGTTTTTCAAGAGATGTGGATCATTATAAAATAAATTTTTGCAGGGAAATCAATGATAAAATTATTTATTTCGTGGGAATTCAACAATATACATGTAGAAATGGAATGAAAATGTTACTGGGCCGAGAAGAAAACAGTAGCATTAAGAATGTGTTTACATTAAAATGAATACTTGAGCTGGGGCAGTGTGGTAAGCTGGGAGGACCAGCAGCACTCTGAAGGCTGAGGGAGGAAGGGGAAGAGTCCCAGGCTGGGCTGGGCTGCTCTGAGACTCTGCACTAAACACACAAAATAGTTAGCAGGACTATTATCATTCCATTCACTGTGGGAAAGTTTCAGCTTAGTTCTGTCATGGGAAACCATCCTCTTTTCACTGGATGTTAGGCAGAGCCCTGTGTGTCCCTGGCAGACACATTAAAGATTACCATCCCCTAAATGGGGAAGTGACTTCCTCACCAACACATACAGCAAGGCGCACAGAAAATGGCGGCTGGGACTCTACTCAGATAGCTCACTCTCTGGAGATTTCCCTGCAGACAGCCCTGTGCCTTAGGGGTAGGAATAAGCCCAGCGACAGACACAGATTTCCTTATGGTACTACATGTGCTTTCCTGTGGTGTTTGAAATTTCGTATCCAGGAAGGAAAGTACTTTAAAGTGTAAACTGAGAAAATTGCTTGTGCTCGGGTGGTAAAAGTGGGGCTGGGGAGACAGCTAAATCAATAAATTGCTGGCCTTGTGGGCATGAGGCCCTGAGTGTCATTCACAGAGAGCATCATCAAGAAAATGAAGTTAAACTACAGCAGGAAAAGTAGTAGGTGTGGTGGGACATGCTTGTGTGTGAAGGTGGAGGCAAGCCTATCCCTGGAGTGTGCTGCCCAGCCAACCCAGCCTGCCTTGCGTGTTCCAGGCCAGTGAGAAACCTTGTCTAAGAAAAACTTCAGGGGGATGGCGCCTGAGGTACAACACCGGAGGCTGCCTTCTGTCCCCTGACCACATGCATGTATGCATACAATTGCAGAAGCACACACATATGCACACGGGCACACAACGACACACTGGATAAACGATGTTTATACCTTCTGTACTTTAGAAGTAGTCATTGTGTTCCGTTTCTGGGCAATGAAGTAGAAGGACAAATGGAATCTACTCTCATGCTCTGTGCATGCCTGTGTGCATATGTGTGTGTGTGTTTGCACACAGAGCTCCACCATCTCTATCTAATGAGGCTGCTTTATGTTAGCCTTAGACTGGGATTGGTCTCCAATCTTGGGTTTACATTTGATATACCTAAGATGTCAAGGTTTATGTACCAGGAAAATATACTGAAGTGAAAAAACACTGCTTTATCTCCAGAGGTAAGGTCCCTTCAAGTCCAGGTCACAGCCAATGTTCCCTCCCACCCAAACATAGACGCCACTGGGCCCAAGACTCTCACTGATGTAGTCCCCATTATGGCCAGGAGGTGGCATTCAAACTACATGCCTACATTTATTTTTTTTAAAGGGGCTGATGTTTTATGGAATAGCAATGCGTTTTCAGTGTGTTTGGAAACTTGATACAATACTAGAGCAGTTCCATTTATGGATTGCAGCAACTGTAGTGCTCCACAACTCACTTCATCCTCCCTGAGTGTAAAGTGGGCAGTGCACACGGGATACAGAGTGGTGCTCTGTAGAGAATATGAATGTGGTGGTCACCTTGAATCCCCTGACACTGGAATGGATGGATTTCCTAGACTTTCCATCTCCTCTCCAGGAGGCTGTGGTACAGTCCCCAGATCTCTGCCTCCCAGGCAAGTTGTATCCTGGTCAGTCACTGCAATTGTGTTGCACCATGCCTGCTGGGGACTTCCAAGAGCAACCTGGTGTTTGTGGTGTGGTTGCCATGTACTTTTCCATGAATATGGTCTGCATATGGTTTAGATGTAATATGTATTCACCGTTACGATTTAGACCAAGCTTGGGGTCCCTTCTCTGTTGCACGAAGGTTTCCAAAGTATTTCCTTTACCTCACCCTCATTTTGGAGCCACTAACTAGATACTGAAAGAGAAATTATCCCCTGAGCCCTACAAGAAGAGATAACACAGAAGAAAAGAGGCAGGAACCCCAAGTCCCTTGACAGCCACAGGACATTGACTGAGCTACTGTTCTATTGCTGGGAAGAGGCGCTGTACTGAAGAGAATTTACAGAACAAAGCATTAAATGGGGAGCTTACTTTCAGTGTCAGAGGGTTAGTCCAGTACCATCACTGTGGGCAGCATGGCAGCAGGCAGCCTGGCAGGGCACTGTAGCAGAAACTGAGAGTTTACATCCTGATCACAGGCAGGAGGCAGAGGGCTTTTGAGTCATCAGAACTCACACCCAGTGACAAACCTCGTCCAATAGGGCCACACATCCTAATCTTTCTTAAACCATCCACCATTGGGATTGAAACATTCACCAAAAGAGGCGTATGGAGATCATCCTCATTCAAACTACCACCATTCAAAATACCACTATAAGGGATTTCCTCTGCCCCATCAAGCTGCAGAGGGAGAATTGTGGTTGGCTGAGTACTCATAAGTGCATAGACTAGAATCGGTTCCAAGATGTCAGTCATTAATAGAAGAGACTACTGTGTGACATTTGGGGAGAGCAGGAGGCCATTCAAGTTACTTGTCTGAAATAATGTGCTCTTCAGAAGACAGTAGTCCCCTTTTGGTTCTCTTCATGGATACTGAAACTGTATACTGAAACTGTAAAGGCCTTGAGCACACAGGAATTATACAAGATTTAGTGAACGTACACACACACACAAACATACATACACACACACACTTTCTTCAGCCATGTCGTCAATTTATTTCTGTGAATTAGTAGTTTATGGTGGGCCAGGCATCATCATTCTAACCCCACATCTACATGTCTCACACAATTCCTTTTTCCCTTCTTTGATCTGCTCAAGTGGATTCCCATGGAAACCATTCAAAGAGACTGCCTTAAACTGTCTGGTCCACAAAGAAAAACAAATGCTGCCTTGGAAACCAAGGAAAATTTGGCCCATCCTTCCCATAGTGATAGCTATAAGGCCCCACCCTGCTCCTGGCTATATCTCCCTTACAGAGGGGAGGGAGGATAAACCTTGTGTGGTGTCTGTCTTGGAAGTTATCCTGGGTGCGGAATAGATTTTTTTCTGATTCTGCTTTCCATGTGATAGTGCAGTTAACATGTCTCCATACTTAACCAAGTATGGATGATCTATAAGAAAGCAATTTGTTTAAGGAGGACATTGAGGTTACACCAAGCACGTGACTTCCCTTTCCCACATTGTGGAACTAGAACCAGAGCTACAGGACACAGAGAGGAAGAGGAACCACGTCTTCAAAGACAAAGACAGGCAGAGGGTCTAGTCTGAGCATGTAACTCTCCTGATTTCAGGAAATGCTCACCACAGGTTTCTCACATAGCAGTCACCTCCTCTCAGCTCTCCCCGTGGGTAGTCTGAGAGCAAAAAGACACTCTTCTCCATTGCTGGAGAGAATGCAACTGTTCTCCAAGCCTATGGATGGATCTTATGCTAGTGAAAACCTCAAGCGTGCATTCTGGGGACCAGGGATCTTTCTTCTAAGGATCCATCCCAAAGAACACAGAAGGGGACACAAAGACTGTCAGAGCAACACTGTAGAACTCCAAGAGGAGAACTATGAAAATCGTCTGTGGGAAGGAAAGAGGGACAGCATGATCTCAGGTGTATCTAGGACTGCTTTCCTCTGCTTCCTGACAGTTTACCCATATAACACAATACTCCAAGATCCGTGGTAATCTCAGTGCAGAAACACGGTGCCCACAAAAGAGGCCAGTATGTGAATAGCTGGATAAACATATCTAAAGAATTGATTTGCCTATTTGATATGCCATATAAGACACCGATATTTAAGGCAGTAACAAGAGGACATGGTATGGAATTAAACAGTCTGTGACTCCATATCCTGGAAGACAGAATATCAAACCCACTAGCAACACGTTTTAACATGGACAGCCATCAGAAAGAAGTGGCTATGCCACAGCCCACTTCCCAGGGTTTGATTCAGTGTCTGTTGTGGACCCAGATATCTACCATTTTAATAAGTACTCCCTGCAAATGTGATGCAGTTATGCATGGCCCATTCAGGGAAATGGTCTGATGGGGATGGCTTCCATTTCAGTCCTGGTCATTTAAAGGGACCCCTACAGGGTTCAGTCATCTGGGGAGTCTATGAATGCCATTGTTCCAAAGAGTGCTGCTCTTTGCTGCTACCTGCTCAACAAGATGTGTTCCTACAAGGCATCACAGATCCGCTGCTGGTCACATGAATGGGAAGAGAAAAGGAAATGACTGACCTGGTGAGTCCCACATGATCTTGTCACTCTTGCTCAGGTAACAGGCTGACAAGACCACACCACACTTGGTTCTTCTCCAGGAGTTGGTTCTGCATGGAGAGTTCACTGTTTTCTCCCCTGTTCTACTAGAAGCCAGAGAAGGAGGAGAGAAATCTCATGGGGAGGGGAAGAAGGCGATGAGAACGCTCATGCACTCTACTGTACTGAATATAGGGATGGAGTAGTCTGTCTGCATCCAGTCAAGTCAAAGATGTGCAGTGACATCTTCCTCTTCTTTGTTCATCTCACAGACCCTTCCTATACACACCCATGTACACATCACACACACACACAAACACACACACACACACACACACACACACACACACACACTGGTGGCACTGATGACTCACATACTGGAAACAAGGGCTCATGTCAGCTTCTTGTCAACATTCTGCGTGTTCTCTCTGCAGTCCTGCTGTTCTTCTCATAGAAGAAACCAGACATTGATAGACAGAGGACACAAAGTGTCACTGACAATTAGCATTTGCTGGTGACAGTCTTCCAGGGATGGTCAGATAATCCAGAGTTCTAGGCAGATAACAAGTGAAGAGCAGGTCCACCTGAATGTGTGTCCTCCCATGGGCACATTATGGGATAATTTAAGCATCACAATATATAATGATGATCTATTGAGAGCTCACCAAGACCAGCTGGACTGTGACTGAAAAAGCATGGGATAAAACTGGACTCTCTGAACATGGCGAACTATGAGGGCTGATGAGACGCAAAGGACAATGGCACGGGGGTTTGATCCTAAGTAATGTGATGGCTTTGTGGGAGCCCAGCCAGTTTGGATGTTCACCTTCCTAGATATGGACGGAGGTGGGAGGTCCTAGGTCTTACCACAGGGCAGAAAACCCTGACTGCTCTTTGGACTGGAGAGGGAGGGGGAAAGGAGTGGGGAGAGGGGGAGAAGGGGGGCAGGAGGGGGCGTAAGGGGGGAGGAGGGGGAGGGAAATGGGAGGCTGGGAGGAGGTGGAAACTTGTTTTTTTTTCTCTTTTTCTCAATAAAAAAAAAAGAAACAGAACTCTGTGAGTTCAAGGCCATCCTGGGCTACATAAGATTGATCCAGTTTAAAAAATAAACAAAGTCAGGTAGTGGTGACTCACATCTTTCAGCAAAGTTCTTTGGTGTCACACACCTTTAATCCCAGCATTAGGGCGATGGAGACTGAAAGGGATATGGCTGGGCCAAGAGAGGACTATAAGGTGGGAGGAGATAGGAGATTCAGGCAGTCAGTCTGAGGTCTTGTAGAGACAGGATGCTCCATTTGGTCTGAGGATTTTGTCGAGGAAAGAACTAGTGTCTGGCTGCTCTGCTGTTCTGATCTTATAGCTCCAAATACTTAATATCTGACTCCCGATTTTATTATTAAGACCAATTAGAACTCACGCTACAATCACCTTCATGCGATGGAATATGCATGTGTCTGTTCTCCTTAAACAGATCTGTAGATCCAGTGCAATACCAAGAGAACTCTCAACAGACTTTTCATAAACTAATGGGCTTATCCTGGAACTCATAGGAATATGAAGAACCGCAGCTTGAAAACAACCTTGAAAAGGGACAACCTTGGAGGATGAACACCTGACTTCCCAAACTCCTTATAAACATAGAGAAATGAAGACAGCGTGCCTGATTGGAAATGACAATAAGACAGAAAAGAATATGAAGGGGACAGAAGAGTCACACATGTGTGAGGGGACACCTTTAGCAAAGACACAAAGACACTTCAGTGAAGCAGGCATATGCTCTTCACCGAGTGTTTCTGGGACTCCCTGTGGTGTTTGGGAGGAACAGCCCAGTACAGTGACCAGCAGCCTGAGGATCACCCTGTCCCATTAATAACCTTGACCCTGGTGAAGGTGGATCTATGACTAAGCTGCATAAAAGAATTTCAGGAAAAGCCAGAATACAGCAAAGGTTGTGGGATTATTAATGTTTTGGACAGAAGCTCACATAGAATATGGATGGCTCATGCATGAAGGCCTGAGTGAGGACTAGAGAGAGACATGAGATTGGGTGTCATTGCCAATGGTGTGTGAGGAGGGCAGGAGAGTGAGAAATGTGAAGATTTTTATGGCTCTCAAAGTTACATTGTTTAAAATTACATGTAAGAATACTTTGAGTCTTTAAATGGGTTCTGTTTTCCCATTAGGAAAAAATATACAATTGGTTATTCAAAAGTCAAAAATGAAAAAATAATCTTTTGAAATGTTCTTATCCCTTTTAAAATTTCTTTAAGTAAATTAAATTGTAAGGTTATTAGGTGAATTTACAAGTATTCTTGTCCTAAGTAAGCACAATTCATTAATTTATTTTTATTTGTTTAATGTTTTTCCACAGGGAATATATGCACCACATGAGTGAGTACCTACTGCCCACAGAGGGCACCAGAGTTTGAGATGTCTCGGAACTGGAGTTACAGACACTTGTGAACCATCCGGTAGGTGCTGCATATCAACCCTAGATCCTCTGGAAGACATCCAGAGAAATTAAAGAATGAACCCTATCTTCAGACTCTAGTTTATATTTTGTTATTTTAAAACTTTCTTTGAGATGTCTTAGAAAAAGCTGCATTATATCTGTAGATAATTTCGGCTCTATCAGTTGGGTTGAGGTTTCTTGAGTGTCAGTTATAAAAATATAAATTAGATCACAGGGTGAGAGACTCTTTCTCCTCTCATATCCCCTTCAATGCCCTGTCTTTCTGTCTTATTTGGGACAAGCAGACATCCCCATGCACAACTATAAATATAGACAAGTTGTTAGTCACAGGATACAAAAGTCAACCCAAAATGAACAAATGATCTACACAGGACTAGAGAGACATCTTCGAGGTTAGGAGTGCCTTTGGCTATTGCAGATGACCTGACTTCAGTTTCAGGCACCTGTATGGGGGCCCAAAGTTGCCTATAAGTCCAGATCCAGAGGAACTGACAGTCTTTTCTGGTCTCGGTGGGCAACTGAACTCAAACGTACATATGGCACACACAGACATACAGGCAGACACTCAGTAAATAGTGAAAATAATCTAAAAGGTAATTGATCCAAAATACAACCTAAATATGAATCATGTAGCAGAAAACAATTGAATGAATTATAGATAAACTTCTTAGATATGACAAACCCCCTTTCATTAAATGAACAACTGAATTGTTAAGAACTCCATAAAGTGAGAATATGTCCACTCTACCAAATATATGTTAGAAACATATTTTTCTTACCTGGGAAAATGAATGTTGGAAATTGTGTATCAGATGACAGTCTTCTTGTTTCCAGAATGCATAAAACCTCAAAAAGAGTCACTGAGAAAATAGACAATTCAGGAAATTAAAGTTGGCCAGAAGGGTGAGTAGATGCTCCACTAAGAGAAACATACAGCAGCAACATCCTTAACACTTAAGGAAGAGAGACAGATGACTCTGAGGGGACTGTCGACACCCCCATAAAATACTCAGAAATAAAGACTTGTCATACAAAGACCTGGCAGGTTGTGGAGGATGAAACTCTCATACCCACTGCTGGTGGCCATGGAAAACAGGACAGAGACTTGGAAAAGTATTTCCCAATGTCTTCATATGTTAATTGTCATCTGGCCATCACATTCCCAAATATATAACCTGGAGAAAGAGGACATATTTTCTTTTAATGATTTATTTATTTCAGTTCACACCAGCTTTATATACAAGACACTGAAATTGAAAACAACCTAAACAATAGCCAACAGGTAAAAGACTCATTTCCCAAAACTGGCATGGCGCTCCCTACTGTCTGTAACTATGGTGCCAAGGGATCCAATGCCCTCTCTTGGCCTCCACAGGCACCAGAAATACATTTGCTCTTCATACCTATATGTAGGCGAGCATATACACACATGAAATAAAACTAAATTATCAAAGTTTCAGCGTAGCTATACATTGCGACACCATTTAATAGTAAGAATGAACAATGATCATGGGCAACAAAATAGATAAATTTAAACATATATTCAAGATGAATGAAGGCCAGATGTCTCTGAACTCTGGTTCTATCCTAATACATTCCAGCATATATAAATTTATCTATAATATCAGATTGTTGTATTTTCCTGCAGACAGGATAGGGCAGTGGTTGGGATTGAGAACCTAAGGAACATAGAAATGAAACTTTATGGATTGGTAAATAATAATGAAACTTATACCTACCTGAGTATAAGAAGATGTCTATTGTCATTATGGGGAAAAGTAGAAAAATAGTAATTACATTTAATGTTCGATGACTTGGACTTCAGAGATGGCTCCATGGTTAAGAGGACTTGCTGCTCTTATAGAAGACCTGGGCTGGGTTCTCAGCACTCACTTGGTGGACCACAATGGACTGCATATCTGTTTCTAGGGGAAACAACACCCATTTCTGTCCAAAGCAGCACACCCTGATCCTGAAACCAGAGCAAAAGAAACATACACTGACCCTGAGATTAGAATCAATTCACTGGCCCTGAAACCACAGACAAAAGGTTAAACAGGCCAGTGAAAGAAACACACTTTGCCCCTGACACCAAAGCCATAGAAACACACTCTTCCACTGACCAATTCGGCAAAAAGCTAACCAATCTCTCAGAGACTGTAACAACAAAGCTGCAACAACTTGGCTGGGGAAACCCTCAACTATCAGTGCAGAGCTGTTCATTTGGGGAAAACTTTCCCTGAAGCAGGGCTGTGCATTCCTAAGCTTATGGTGAATTGTGGTATTCCTTGCCTCCCGACTGCCAGGATCCCTTTCCATCTGAGCAGCAATGTTTACAACATATACACACAATTTTTAAAACATTGCAGTCATTGGGTGCCTTGAAGATATCCCCAGGCTGCCTGACACCATTCTGTTCAGGCAGGTGCCACACACCCACAGGCAAGCCTGCATTGTCAAAGCCTGGGCTGGCGGGAAGACATTCACAGGTCGACCCGGTACTTCCAGGAAGCCATTATGGTGAGCAAAATGTGTGGTGGAGAAATGGGAGAGAAGGAGCAGCCGAATGGTTCATGAGCTATGAAAAGAGGGACAATGGAGGACGGGAAGGTGGTGAGGAACAAGCTGAGGTGGGTGGTCTTCTTACCACGCCAACCATCAGGACTCAAGCTGTTTTTAAATGATATGTCTGGGTATGTGTTAATGTCCATGGTCCATGCTGCCACTAAAGGGTACACAGAAGCCTGGAGTCTGGGCTGTGTCCACTGGCCTTGTTGGTGTCCTAGGGCTGTGCTCTCACTGGAGTGTCCCTGATCTGAGAGACGCATGCTGCCAACCGGGGCCTTGGTGTTGTCCATTCCCGAGCTGCTGCCAAGGGTCTTGTCTGGCTCTGTGGCCCTACAGAGGCCAGGGTCTGAGTTCATGTCCATGGCTCTTGTCAGCATTGAAGGCCATGTGGTTGTTAGAGATCTGGACTACCACCTGGGGCCATGCTGGTGTCTGAGTGTCATGATGACACTGGGGCCATGCCGATCTGTGGGGCCTGCATTGCTGCTGTTTTGTTAATATAGTTTCTGTGTGATTACTCGGGTCTGGGTGGCTGGGAAACCACAGTGAAGTCTGTTCACAAGAACGGGTGCTGATGGCATGGCCATAGGACAGCTGCTCTGCCCCTAGCCTGAGGGGGGTATCTCAAGTGGGCTGGACTAACAAGCTCAACTACATCCTAGGCCCATATTCAGGGCCTTGGGTTGGCCCATCCTAACATCTCCCCCATCATTAACTGGCTGGAACTCGTAAAGGGACAGGTCTTCTGGAATGATACCTGTATGATCTCCATTACTCATGGTGGACCCGGAATGTCTGAGGTGAGTTTTGGTGAGGGTACACTGACGATGGGTACCAGAAACCAGAGGCCACAAATGAGACAAAAGACTCATTGCAATAAATGTTTGCAACAAGAGCTGATTGGACAAAATGGTGTGGTATGTGATCACCAAGGATCCCAATGCCACTAAGATGAATGACCAGATGTGTTGTATAGGGGGGAAAGATCGAGGGGCAAAGAGGTTGGTCGTTGGCTTGGGTTCAGATTTTCGTTTGCTTTACCTTTGTTTTAGTGGCTTATTCTCTTGTTGGGTGAGGGGCATATATGCAGGTACCTCAAAACAAACAGATTTGGGTTCATGATGTGAAATTCCCAGAGGATCTATAAAGAAATTATGTTGAAATTGTAATCAACAGAATTTGTTAAAGTACATTTCTAAGTATTTGGCACCAGCCTGGTGCCCAGAGAAAAGTCTCTGTTAAAATCTAGAAAAGTTTGTGCTACAATCCCAAAGAACCTAGAAAACAATGAAGACCTTAAGAGAGACATACACGGATCTAAACTACATGAGAAGTAGAAGAAGACAAGATCTCCTGAGTATATTTGGAGCATGGAGACCATGGGAGTGGATAAAAGGGGAGGGGAGAAGAAGGGAGGGGAGCAGAGAAAAATGTATAGCTCTATAAAATCAATAAAAGTTTTTATGTTCAAATCACATTCTTAGCAAGTCTGTCAAAGGAGTCTTTTCACATCCATCTGAGACATTCACGCTTATCACTGGTGATGGTTTAAGCAGGCATTATCACTACAGGTTCAAGAGATTTGTGGATGAGCCATTCACATCCCTTTTCACAGAGCCGGGAGTTGGGCGAGTGCAGGCACTGATGCCTATTTTATTTTCCACAAACACCCCACCTTTTCCCAGAAAATGGTTTATGGTCATTCTGAATCAGGACGGGTACATGCTTGTATATCCAGAAGCCTCCATGTCTTTCTCCCTCAGGAAGTGAAGCAGCATTTTCTGGCTTGCATCTAAGAGTTTTATCTTCCTGTGTCCATAGGGGTCAGCCCCCACCATAGGGCACTCACACTCTCAGCTCAGTCCCATTATTGGGGGCGGGGAACGTCTGCTGTCCTTGTCATGTATTCTTGTGTTCCATAAATGTCATCTTGGTTTCTATGACCACAATCTGGCACAAGCTGCATATAGAGATGCCCTGCCCATCCTCCCTTGTGCCCTAGACTTTTTCTGAGAGCAAAATGCCTTTGAAGACCTTTGGGCTCTGTGAGAATGCACCCTGAGAGAAAGCAGGTCTAAGTAAGGTTGCAGGGATGTCTCAGGGGTTAAAGTGCACTGTGCCACTGCAGAGGACCTGAGTGGCTTACAATTTTCTGTGACTCTAGATCCAGGGGAACCAGTGTCCTCTCCTGGCCACCATGGGCATGTGAATTCATGTGTACATATTTCACACACAAATACACTCCAATCTCATGACGAAAAATAAAAATAAGTTAAAACTGAATAATCAATCTAAATAGACAATATAATAAGTAGACAACCTAAATACCTTCAAGCTCAGGAACATGGATTAAAAACAAACTTCTTACCAGACCCAGAAAGACAAATGTAATATGTACTCTCTCATGAGTGACTTTTAGACATAAAGCAAAGAAAAACCAGCTTACTTTCCACAACCCCAGACAACCTAGAGAAGGAAGAGAGACATTGCCGGTCTACATAGGAAGGAGAAAAAGATAAGAATTCCTGAGAAAACTGGCCGTGTGGGGGGGGGGTCAAAGGAGAGGAGGAAGGGGAGAGTATAGGAAGGTAGGATAGCGGAGCGAAATGTATAGCTCAATAAAAACAATAAAAACCAAACTTCTTAGATATAACAAACCTCTTTTCATAAGTTGAGAAGCGTGTTGTTAGGACGTCCATCAAGTGTCAGATGTACACTCTTCCAAGTAATGGTTGATAAATGAAGACAATGCCCTGATGGGGAAATACAAGTTTGAAAACCATGCACAAGATCAAGGAATTCTTGTATCTAGGATACAGAGCATCTCACAGACATCATTAAGGTAAGTGCTACTTATATAATAGAACAGATGATTCTAAATGACCAAGCGTACTGATATCATAAGAAATGTAAATGTATATGAATTTATCAAGCAAAGAAAATACTCTTCAGGTTGCCTGTTAAGATAACTACTGACTTTTAAAGCACATACCCCTTAAATGTTACACTGAACACTTAGAAATGAACAAAAACATAGTAGCCAATTACAAATAAAAGGAAACCTGAGATAAAAATTCTGATATTTGAGAAATGCTTAAAAGAATATGCAATTAAGAGATATCTTTGAAACCCACAATAATTCTATGGGCTCAACTTTAGTGGCAAAATGTTACTTTTTCAAGGGATATAGCAATCATGGGCAGTTTTTTTTGAGGAATGTGATGGCTAATCTTGGTTTTCAACTTGACTATATCTGAAATCAACTAAAACTCAAGCATCTGAACACTCCCGTTGGAGATTTTCTTCACTGAATTATTTGAGGTGAGAAGACCCACCCTAATCTGGGCAATATCTCTGTTGGAAGACCACATCAAATAACATGGAAGAGGAAAGCTTTTGCTTTTGTGTGCCCTCATTCTTACCAGCAAGTTCATCTACCCTGCTTCTGAGGCCTTGGCTGGAGGTGAACCTATGTTTTGGGGAGTCCAATACTGAACAAAGACTAATAGCAGGTCCCTAAGAATCCTCT